CGCGGCGCTGGTTCCCCTTGGTCCCGGTTCCGGCTGTCCCGAGGGACAGTCGCCCCCCCCACACCCCCAGACCCTCCCCCCACAGATGTAAACCATTAAAAACTCCGGAAGAAACTGGGAATGAACACACTTCCAGCAGCAGTAACTGAAGAGGAGCTGGTGGTGTGCGTGGGGGGGGGAGGGGAGGGGAGAGGGGGGGGTCACTCTCTAGTCTCCGGGATTGAACAGCACAGGGGGTGTCCTTCCTCTCTTCCTCCTCTCCCCAAGTCACCCCGGTCCCGCCACACAAAGCACCCCCCCACACCCAGCCTGCCAGAGGAAAGTGAAGGGGGGGGTGGGCAGACTGTGGACACCCCAAGCCTTACCCTCCCACCCCCCCACCCACCGGTCCATCACACCACCCCCAAATTCCCCGTCGCGGTGGGGGGGCCCTAGCGCTTGGACTTGGCTTCGGCCTCTTCTTTCACTGAAACAGAGAAGCGGGAGAGAGAGAGAGCCACAGAGGCGCATGAGTGAGGCGGGGACAGGGCTCCCACAAACCTGCCGGACCGAGACCAGATCAGAACCAGAACAGAGCCAGCCAGCCGTGCCCGGGTCCAGAGAGAGAGAGAGCCGGCAGAACCGGCCAGCAACAGCACAGCGCAGAGCTGTTGCAGACTCCATTATGGCTCCCTGACAGATTCTGGGGGTACACACCGATCCCCCTTTAACTCAGCTGAGCCTGCAGCTGCAGCCCTGGCCCAGGAGAACCACAGCAGTAAGTGGGTTTTCTCCCAGCTCCACCGAAGTGGTCTTCACAGGATCGATGAGTGGACTGACCGTCCCTAACCGACACGCCTCGCAGGCCGGCGCTTGTTCGGACGGTTATTCCCATATCAAAGCACTCACTATTCCCTGGGCCTCTGAGACGGTCAAGCCTTCCTTCAGAAGAATCGACAGGGGAAAGAGGACACCAGCGGAAACGGTGCGGAAGCGCATTTGAAACTGGGGGCAGGTCCTCTGCGCAAAGGGTGGCAGGGGCGTGGAACGGACCGCCCAGCCACCGGCCGCGCAGTGGAAGCCATTAGCCCGGCTTCTGTCAGCCGAGACGAGACCCTGGGATCAATTAGCTACTAACGAGCCAGCAGGCTGGAGGGGCGCGTGCACGGCGTGCCGAAGGAACACGGAGGCCGCGTCTCACCTTTCCTGAGCTCCTCCCTCTTGCGGGCGGCCTCCTCCCGCTGCTTCTTGATGATGGCCAGCCGGGCGAGGTCGGCCCTGGCCTGCTCCGTCTTGCCCTCCAGGTGCAGCTTCATGTACCTCTCCTTCGCCTTCTGCTTCTCGATCTCCTCCCTG